AGAGGTGGTATTCCAAACTACTCAAAATTTCCGCTACTGGTTCTCCAGAACTGGTCAGAACCTGCAGAATACCACCTCTGATAGGAACCATGGGGACACTGGAACAGTCGTAAGTGTGAAAAATGGTGGTAAGTCACTTTTTCAGTGCCGTAGTAACCTCCAACTGTCACCAAGCGAACTGCTGTAAGTCAAGGACTACCTGTAATGCCTGCAATATTTGCTGTGTGTAAGATTCAAATTAAAAGGTGAGTGGACCATGTGGATGGATCCGCTCAATGGTATTTGGGGGGGGGGGGGGATAAAATAAGAATTTCAGGAACGGAAGAACGCATTAGTTGCCCAATTTAAAAAAAAAAATTATCAGAAGAAAAAAGGAGGCAGTACAGGACAAATTACATTTGTGACTCGGATAGCGCAATGGCAGCCATGTCAAATCACAAGCACCCTGGCACGCCAAGAGCATCTTTTCATGTCTGAGCGCACAAGCCGTCAAATCTCTGCAGAAAAAAAAATGGCACGCTCTAGGTAGGGCTTCATTAAGGAATTCTGCTGACAGTCAGAAGTGATGGATCTTACAGCCTAAAACGACTGCCCTGATGATTACGCTGAAGGTATCATTCTTACAAGCTGTCAAGTTTAAACTAGTAAATTCTCTCTTATTATCTTGACAGGTTACCATAAATATTATATAAAGGCCCTCCATTACTTTGAGCATGGAGGGTGAGATCTGTTAAACAACTCCCCAAATTAACAGAGGGAGGAGGGAATTTCCTAGTAAGATCTGCTGAACTTTATCCTAAAAAGTTTACTGTGGAAGAAAAAATGATTAATAGCTTTCTATTCTGCTAGGGCTAGTTAGTGGTGCAGGACAGTGGTGGGATTCAAATTTTTTTTACAACCAGTTCTGTGGGCATGGCTTGGTGGGCGTGGCAGGGGAAGAATACTGTATAATCTCCATTCCCACCCCACTCCAGGGGAAGGTTACTGCAAAAAAAGCCATCACTCTGCTAAACAAATAATTCCCTCAACACTGTCCAACTATTACTACTATTACTGTTAATCTTCTCATCACTCCTTATCACCCATCCCCTCCCACTTGTGACTGTATGACCATAACTTTGTCGCTTGTATCCTTATGATTTATATTGACTGTTTCCTAATATGATTTGATTGCTTATTGTACCCTATGACTATCATTAAGTGTTGTACCTGGATTCTTGAATCTTGACGAATGTCTCTTTTCTTTTAGGTACACTGAGCATATGCACCAAAGACGAATTCCTTGTGTGTCCAATCATACTTGGCCAATAAAGAATTCTATTCTATTCTATTCTATTCTATTCTATTCTATTCTATTCTAT